TTCCAGCTAAACTGAGGCTTTTTGAAGACCCTTTTCTGTCTCTCTCTCTCTCTCCTCTCTCTCTCGCCTGTCATTCACCGGTCTTGTGCAGAGTTTTTGACGTGCTGCCGACAGCTGCCTGCACGTCGCGGTTCCTCGCGGGTCTATTTGAGGTAGCCGGCTGTTTAAAAACGATAAAATATTCTTTATGTGGTTGATAAACTGTGATAAACGGACAACTCTGCACAACACCAGTGAAGCCGGGGCTCCGTCTCTTCAGCAAGTGCTCCTCTGACGCCCAGGGTTTGGGTTACAATTTTGGATTCATTTACGCACTTTTAAAAACATTTATTGAAAGTTTTATTCTTTTTACATGTTTATTTACAGCATTAAACATTTAAATGTATATCGTAACAGGCTGTATATTAAGTTTTGGGAGAAGACGTTGAGCACCCCCATATCGCCAAAATGGTGTGATCCTTGTTTCGCTGCAAAGCTTCGACTGTGAGTGACAGTGGAATTAGGCTCCGCCCATCGAAGCATCAAATCTTCGACTATTGGGGGTCAGCACTACTTGATACAATATTGCCACGTAAAATATCGCAAATCTATATTGCTGTATAGACCCCCCCACACACGCCTAGTCTTAAGCAAGAACTTTAACACTTCAGCAGTTTGAATTCGAACAGGTAAAGCCGCTGTCCGCCACCGAAAGGCTCGGCCACTTTTGTTCTTTAACCTGGATCTGGGAACATCGAGGGGCATCTGATCGGACGACCTCAGAGCTTTGACAGGAGAGTGAACATGCAGAAGTCCTGATAAAGTGAAGCTCCGCCTCCTTCACGGTCCATATTCCCAGCACACGCGCTGAGCCGATGGTAGTTCGTGGTGCCTGGGAAAGTGAAGCTTGGCTGTCTCCCTGATGGGCTTCTGTTTGTTTTCTTTAATTGTTTCTCATGTTTTTTCTCTGGCCAATCACCTCGCCCCATGCTGCTGTGGGTCACTCCTTCATCCTATTCTCCTCCAATCAGAAGCTCCCAATCTCTGCATCCCGCCGCTGGTCTGTCCAAACCCTCCATGACTGGCCGGTACTGATCTCTGTCCATCCCTCCCTCTCCTCCTCCTCCTCTGGGTTTCTCCTCGTTGGGATTTTAACAGTTGTTGTTTTTTTTGCATGTCACTGATTGGCCGGCGTCCTCTCGACTAACACGGACTGAGATCTGTGTAACTAACAAAGTGAACTGACATCACGTGTCCTGAATTTGAATTTTGACGATGTGATTATGTTTCTTTGGTTTACTTGAATCTCAGGCTGATGAATGTAGTTATTTATTCATAAAACCAACGCAAACGTAAAGTTAGCTCACTTCAAAGCAACATGGTGTAAGATGCGTTTGTTCTGATTAAATATCTAAAACTAGCAAGTCACCAACTTTGCCAAACATCAAGCAAGTGCGGCAACACAAGACACAGCGAGCAGCTGTTTAGTGTTTGCTGACGAGTCCAACAGGAAGAAGGCCAGCTCGCCGTCTATCCTGCAGCACGTCAGTTTCTTAGCTCAGCCAGTAAAAGCCAGTCTCGCTTTGTCTCGCTCGTCTGTTTTTCTTTTCCTCACTTCCTCCTCGTCTTCTTCGGTCTCTTCAGCCTCTGCCTTGATATCCATGGAACACCGAGCCAGCTTCTTCAAACAACTCACATTGAACTTTATGTACTTGTTGTGGCTTCTTATATCTTGCTGAAGAGTTAAAACATTATGCTGTTCTTGCGATAGAAATCCTGCACGGATTTCAATCTTACAGATGACAGAGACGCCATTCACCAGGTTTTTTTTCACAACTTGGGAATTAGGACCATCGAGGAGCACCTGAATGCACCGTTAGCACTCAGCATTTTCAGTGTTTTCTGTTGACTCTGCAGCGTTTAGCAGCAGTGACTAGAATATTATTACAGCAAAATTCAAATTCACTCCAAACTCTGCTGCCTGACTTCCTGTCTGTCGGCGTCTGAAGCTTTACTGTTCACTAACAATTAACAGCAGGTATGTTTCTGTGACAGCCAGCGCAGAACTCCGGCTGTTTTTATTTTAATTTCAAGCTTAATTTGAGACTTTTTTTAAGGTAATTTGGCTGTTGAAGCGACGGATGAGTTTAAACTGAAAACTAACCGTGTGTTCACACTGCGAGCGCTCACAGACTGACTGACTCTCACTGGTGAACGAGTTCCAGCACTGATTTACCACTAACGATCCGACCTAATGTTTGCTCTGTGAAGTGTCCCAAACGTTACGATTCATCGGGGGCCGCGCTGAGGCCCCGATGCTCGTAACATATTTGAATACTAACTGTAAAAAGTCCCTCCAAAAAAAAGGACATTTTCCTTTACAGTTACAGCGGCTCGTAGGAACCGTCCAGCATCAGTCAGCGCCCCGCAGGTGAACAGCCTCTTATAGTAATTTATGTCTTCCAGACCACTTTTAATCAGGTGGTGCTTTGTCTCCTCCGGGCTGCCGTCTCCCTCCTCCTGTCTGTCTGTCTGTCTCTCTGCTTGTCTGTTAGAAATCCCGCCGGTTTAAGACGAAGCGAGGGGACGGACTACGGCAACCGTCCCATCAAACTGGCGGGGAAAGTCATCATCCAGGAGATCTCCTGTCTGCTGCCCGTCCACAAGGCTCTGGGGGAGATCTACATGTGAGAACGGCAGTATTCTAAAAACCAAACAAAATACTTGCTGTGTAATTGTGTGTTTGGGTAATATTTCAATGTATTTAGATGATTTCTGTCCTGCTCAGACTGAACGTGAACGACATCCAGGAAACATGCAAGAAGAACGCAGCAGCGGCGCTCACAGTCGGACGCAGAGATGTGGCGAAGGTACCTCTGAATCCTCACAGCAGCTCTCCTGAAGGTGGCGCTGCGTTTACCAAAAAGTCCCTTTACCACAGGACAGTACCAGCCCAGCTCACCTCGACTCTACTCGCCGGTTTTGGTTTTCAATTGGGCAGAAAGTCTTTATTCACTGCATCATCACTGTATTGATCCCCGAGGGGAAATTCTTTAATTTTTCCTACTTCATGTTTGTTACAGCCATGCGTAACGTCAACTTCTGAAGAAACTACACTTTGCTATTCGCTCCAGACCTGCTGATGGAAACGTGCCTAAATCAATTGTTTTTATTTTTTGCGACTTTTAAAATTCACTTGACAATTAGATGGAAACCCAGCTGAGAGGGCCATGAAAAAACTGGCCAACAAAAGCGAGGCGAGGCAAGCTGAGCTGGTACCGGCGGCGGGTAAACGCCATAAAACGAATCCAAACTTCTAGTCTGTTCTGTGGACCTGGACCTCCGCTCTCTGCTGTACTGTATGTTTGATCATCAATATTGGTACCAATATGAGGCCCTCACACCTGTGTGTGTGTGTGTGTGTGTGTGTGTGTGTGTGTGTGTGTGTGTGTGTGTGTGTGTGTGTGTGTGTGTGTGTGTGTGTGTGTGTGTGTGTGTGTGTGTGTGTGTGTGTGTATATACAGGTGTGGGCCCTGGCGTCTGCAGCGACTGATCAGGACCTGAGTCCAGACTCAGACCCGGACACAGAGACCCCCTGGGCCAGACACCCGTTTGGACGGCAACTGCTGGAGACTCTGTGAGTTTAAATCCGAGCGAGCTGAAGCTTCACGTAGCAGCCTGTAAATCCTCAGAAATATATATCTTTTTCAGCCAGTAGTTAATGTGTTCAAATAATATTAGATCAACTTTTACTAATTCAGATCAACAGAAATAAGAACACATGCAGAGAAAAGTAAAACACAAGCAGTTAGGAAACGGAATAAAAACATAAATGATAAAAAAGCAATTAAAATTACAAAGCAAGCAGTACAAATACACACAGAGAGTAATATGATAACATCTACTATAACAGCAGAAAAATATATTATTAGCTAATACTACTATTTGTAAATTTGGTTAATTGTATTTTATTTGTGTTTGTTTTTAATTTGTGATTTTTGCTTTTTTTGTAACTTAAATTTTATTGAGTTTTCACATAAATATAGACAAAACAATTACGGCAAATAAGTTACAAACTAAAATAACAATCTGCCGGAGATGATCCGCTGTTCCATCTCTTCAACTCTCAAGAGGTGTGTCAATTTTTCCTGGACAATTTCCAACCTCTGTTCCCGTTTTGGGATGTTTACATTCAGTTTCTTGTGACCACTTTCTTACTGGATGCGAGTAATACTTCTCAATATTACCAAGATACATCACTGGACAAGTACTTGGGATTTCATATCCCAGGACATTATTACAACTAAACTAACATTTTGCCAGTATGTCCTCCTTTTTGAACAGTTGCAGAAGTGTGTGGGCTGCTTCCACACAGGCTCCAGCTGTTCTGTTGTATAGCGAGTTGCCTAGATTTTATTTGGGAGTTATGAAATAGCGAGTTTGAATGTAAAAGTGTTGCGTAACGAGGGTGGACGTGTGACTCTGTGAAATAAGATATGTGTGTGTTGAACCTTTCAGTCTGGATCACTACAGTCAGATGAGCGACGTGCAGACTCTGGCCATGTTGTGCAGCGTGTTCAGAGCTCAGCCTCCTGCAGACTGTTACTCTCTGTACGGACAGCAGGCGTCACGCTCCTCCATCTTCCCCCCGCACCACTCGCGATACGTAAGTCCTGACTCGCTCTGTTGAAAACGGGATGTTTAAGAAACCGTGTCGACATTTTAGGGACCAAGCGATCACCTGACTCACAGAGAGAAGAATCGGAGCTGAATGAACTTGCTCGTCTGCTGAGTGACTTTCTGGAGTCCATTTTTAAAGTGACTCACTATGAATTAATTTTTTGTCTTTGTTTAACAGCTTTTAAACCGTCCTGCCAGGAACCAGAAAAACTAATCGTGATCACTTGAAATATTATAATAAAACAGTTCAGGTTCCTATTTATAACACAAATACAGCAGGAACGTGATGATGATACACGGTGATGTAATTAAGTGTCTGTTACTGTCTCAGCCCAGTTACACGTCCAGCTCCGTCACCTCGGGCTCGTGCTCCAGCACCTCGGACTCCATCACCACGACCACCTGGAACGCAGGTGAGACTCGCGGACGCCGGCCGCCGCATTACTGCTGCGCTGTGTTACCGTCCGTGTTTGGACTCCATCCAGCCAATCAGATGGGGGTTTTTGTTGTCGTCCGCAGGTAGAGATTCTGAGCACGTCAACCCCTGGGGTGAACCCTCCCCTGATGACTATCGCTATGGTAACCAGGGTTACACAGACCCTCGGGAACGAGAGCGAGAGCAGCACGACATGAACAAGAGGTGACGTCACGCCGGTTCCACGCAAATTTCCAAATTCCCATCGCGTTTGTCACCTGAGTTTGACGAGTGTGTTGGCAACACAATGTTAATAAACACAACGAGAATATTACTACAGCTGTATGAACTCAAAATAAACATCTTTCTGTGATTTAGTTACAATAAACGGATCAAACTGATGCAGAAATAACGACATCATGATGCTGCTTTGTTAAAAGTATTAAGTTGTGCTTTATCAGGTCGGTCAGTTAGATGACAAGCAAACAACTTTTAAAATGCTTGTTTTCTGAATGGAGTTTGGCTGGAGCAGGACTGCGCTATGTTAACTTGTTTCATAGTAAAGTAAGAATCCTCTGTCAAGTCGTGTGCGAAACTATCATTAAACGTAAAAGAACTGCTGTGATTGGTCTGTGTGTCGTGAACACAACTCCGATGTCACTTCCTTTACCCCCTGCAGACTGCTGGACCCCGCCAACACGCTGCAGTTTGACGACTTCAAGAAGTGTTACGGAGAAATCTTGTACCGCTGGGGTCTGAGGGAGAAAAGGGCCGACGTGCTGAAGTTCGCCTCCTGCCCTCCTGAACCCACAAAGGCATCGGTACGTTACTCTGCAGACAGCTGCTGATTGTTAAAGGTGTCTTAGATGGAAAACTGTGTTTCCCTTGGAATAGCTGAATAAAAAGAGTTGTATAGGACTGATCTCCTAAGTTTCTTCAAACATGTAAATTTCTCACACCCAAAAGACCCCGGGAAAACGGGCGAATGCCAACAAGCGCTAGATGTGTCACAGTGGGGGACTGAACCGGGGTCTCTCACACTAGAGGCATGTGTCTTATCCAATGCACCATCCCCAACAACAACAACAACAACATACCAAGCCGGGCAGAATCAGCAACAGGACAGCTAGCTGCACAGCAACTGGGTAGCTAGCAGCAGCTGCTGTTAGCAGCTACAGTGACCTGTAACATAACTCTGTAAATCACCTAAAGTGGAGGCAGAGCAGCCGAAAGGACATCAGCGGGAAAACCAGATCAGAACCAATCGGTTCTCCATCAACTCTGATCCAGGGAGTTGTATGTCGAGCGCTATATAGTGAGCTCACTATATTAAAACAACACTTTCGGACACTACTCCGATCGTTCGTTAATTACGTCATTGCCGTCGGACAATCAGTCTTTTCTATCAGCGCAATGCATGATGGTATGTAGGGCTTGGTTAGTGACCATCGGTTGTACTCTACTTTTCAAAATGCATTCTGGGATACATTGAGTGGACTAAATAGGGTATAATAACTCTCACTATACATTCGGACAGCACTACAAAATGGCGAGCTCACTATATAGTGATGAGTCTCACGTAGTGAACAGAAGAACAGCTGATCGCTGGGCTCTAGTCTGGATGAACAGATTGTTATTAAGTGCCTGATGAACCCGATCTGAACCTGGTCTGTTATTTAACTAGGGCTGGGCGATACGTTTAAAGGCAGATTTTTGCTCCTGAATGAAAATTTAAGCAACCAGATGGTTAATTATGTGGTTAAACTTTTCTTTGTGGTCAGAATGGGAGAAACACTTGATGCTTAACAGTGAATCACTTAACAAAACTGAGGGAGAATATTCAAAACTAGTATATAACACTAGTATATTAGTAAATCTTTTTTCAGTCCCTTTTCCGCAACAAAATAAATATTTTAACGAAAAAATTAACTGCAAATTTGTTCATGTTCTGAATTAAACCAAATATTTGTTGACGATATATTGAACATTAACTATATTGATATTGAGGAAACTTATATTGCGATAATTATCGTTTTATTGCCCAGCCTTAATTTAACCCCGTGTGTTGTCTCCCTGCAGAGTTCGGCGTGTACTGCTGTCACTGCCGCACTCAGGCTCGTGGGACGCAGTGCCGTCTGTAAGCGTCTGACCTTCCAGTGCGCCATCTGCCACGTGGCCGTCCGCGGCTCCTCCAACTTCTGCCTCAGCTGTGGTCACGGCGGACACACCAGCCACATGATGGACTGGTTCCGCCGGCAGGACGAGTGTCCGGCCGGCTGCGGCTGCCACTGTCTGCTGCAGAGCGTCTTCTGATGATCCAACACAGACGCTCTTCTAAAAGACGGCGATGAGCACGTCTTCTGTCCGACACAACCTGCTGCTCAGACTGATGGACATTCACGGTCCCCAGAGGACAAACCCTGCGGACCTTTCCTCAGGACAAACTTTCCACATGGACACTAGAAATACCAAAACCTAATGATAGATGGTCGTGAGGTTCGTGCTCCCAGGAGGACCTTTAAGTCTATAAAAATGTCGATCACATTTAACCAAAATAAGCCTGCACACTTTTTGTCCGACCAACAGTTGATGGTATAAAATAGATAAAAGCAGCAAACCCTCACATTTGAGAAGCTGGAATTAGTTGCGTGTAAATGATAATGTTTCCCTGCAGACTGCCGGCTGCCTGATAAATACTTAAACAACGAATACTTGACTAACTGTTTGGAACCGGAGCTTCAGGCAAAGTGTATGTGCTCCATAACAAAACATAAAAACACAAGATTTGTGCTCAAAAACGAGAGGTGACCTGGACGGCGTTGTTTGTTTAGTCTGAGGATGAGACATTTACGTAGCTTCTATCTCACAGATGTGATCACACAAGTGTTTGTGACGCAGAGAGGAAAAGCTTCCTGAATTCTCTGAAGAGTTTACAGATGTACTTTATGTCAAATTATAATAATAAAAATTTGCTTGAATTCAGGCAAAATGTCATTTAAACAGAAAGTGAAATCTGTTTTTATTCTCACTTTCTTTCTAACAACACATTTAGCTGCAGCTGTTCGATGATGACATGATGATGATGAGAGTCCATCCACTGGGGGGGGCTGCAACCAAGTGCTAACATGATGCTGCGGCTGTAATGAACACTGCAGCCTCTGGGGGACGCCAGCAAGACTTTAGATTGTTTTTTGTAGTTTGCATAATGCCAGTATCCACCCCACCCGCCCTACCAGCTGCTGCTCTGTGGCCGACCTCTGACCTCCTGGACAGGAAGTCACATGAGAGGCGGAGGCTGCGGTCGGTATGCGGGGGGCGATTTGAGTCGACAGAAGACGCACCGGGTCAGCAGCTCTGAGGTCTGCAGTCTGGACACGGGGAACGGCTTCCCGCACTCTTCACACTGGAAACAATAACAGTTTTTATTGATGAAACTAAAGTTAAACAGACAAAACAAATGACGGATTGTTTTTCACCTTGAGGATGTGAATTCCTGTTCCTTCGGTCCTCCTCCGCTCCAGGACTTGTGGGATTTCCTCCATGTTCTCTGTGTTCCATAACCGGACCGTCCTGTCCTGCAGAGACAGAGGAGACCAGGGCTGGGTTTCAAAAACCAGTACCTTTAAAGTGACACTGATACCAACAGAGTATTTGCACTTAACACATGTTTCAATGTGTTAAATGCCACCTGTAGTTGATGGTATTATTATTTATTATTGTTACGGACAACAAGGCGCTTTCTTTTTATTGTTTGAAAAATATAAATATTGGGAAATCATATCAGACCGCTCCTCGTCCTGTTCAGGCCCTCCTCACGTTATAATCAGAGGAAGGGCGACAGCTCGGGAGGTGTTCTGTATTTGAATGCGAGAGGAGGAAAGTTCAGTGACCGCAACAAATCTTGAACTGAATATAAAGATCTCTGCGAGTGCTTTTTCCTTTAGTGGTGAGTCATTTATAACCGATCTGCAGGAAGGGGCCGACCCAGGTACTAATCTGGATTCCCCCGTTTGAAAAGAGAGGAAACCAAATGCCTCCCACTTGTGTTTAAACATTTATTTAGGCTACGCAAACACGGCACTCACTTAACGAGGCTGGCGATGAGTTAAAAGAAATATGACTTGTTGTAAATGACAATAAATAGTTATTTTTTACAAGCAGCGCTTCACATCCACCCGCTGGCGCTCAGCGTTTTGGCTCGATGAGGAAACGAACATGTGATAACAATACATGAAACTCTGCTCTCGTATTTGCTCGACTGACGCACTGACAACGGCATCAATTTAAATATAATTTGTCCTCCCATTCACCTTATTTCTGAGAATAAATTTCAATGCATGCAAGTATAAATTAAATGATTCCTGATTAAACTGTCCAACATATTTGAGGCGTTCTTTTGCAGAAACAGAATCTCCATTTGTGTTTATTATCCTCAGTCATGGTTCTTTTTGTGGCTGCAAATTATCTTAAATTATGTTTTTTTATTGCGCACTTCAGGGAAAATCAATCAAACGTGTTTTTGATTATTTAGAAAGGCTGTAAGCCTGTAATACTCAGAGGTAATAGTGAGTCACCGTTTCTCTTTTCTCCTCTTTATGTGCGTACGCGTGGTTCAGAGTTTACTTACGGCACATTCTCCCCTCAAGTTTGTTTTTTATAAATCAAAACCTTTGCTTGGGAAGTGGCGTCCGCACGTTTCCAGCCCAGTTTTGTACGTACGCACCGTTTATTAATGAGACCCCTGGTCCACCTGGGTCCCATCAGGCATCACACATTCAGACTTAAAACATTCTCCAGGTCCAAAAAAGGAATACTGCAAGAAGTCAAGCTCAGATTTCAGCAGGTCATCAGGAGACGTCCCATCTCTGAAGACACAGTGCTAACAAACATGTCTGTAACTTTATCATGAGCGCGACAGTGATCACGATGATGGAAAGGACCTGGACTGAGGGGACCGGTACCTTAGAGGCAGAGGCCACCAACTTCCTGTCAGCGCTGACTGACACATCAGTCACCCAATCACTGTGGCCCTGCAACAGAGACGGCAGAAAACATGAGCTGAGCTCTCTAATAGAACACTTTCATTATTTCAGAGTGATCCGTACTGCAGCAGAGTTTAATCACCTTCAGGATGAGAGTCTGGCAGAGGGAGGACATATCCCAGAGTGCAACAGTCCTGTCGTAGGAGCCAGACACCAGCAGGTTTGCTGCGGTGAAATGACAGGAAGTGTTTTATTACATGTGCAGCTCCCAACAAAGATCTTATAGAAGTGAGATGCTTCACTCGGAGCGTTGCACACACAGGGTGAAAAGAGTAGCTGCGGCGATGTGCAGTGTAAGAATGAAACCATGTAAACCTGCTCTGGTGCGACGCCTCAATAAAACTATGAGTCGATGAATGAATGAGCAGACCTCTTTAAAATGACAACTAACTGAACAACAGTGAGATATTTACACGTTTCCAGGACACGTCCAAGTATCAGGGCCGGTAAAACAGCGTTACCGTTTTCTTTCTCTATATAAAGCTCTGACTGCCGTCTGCCGCAGAGGGCGTCTGAGCTGTCAGCTGAGGACAGGAACCTGAACCTCGACCCCGTCTCTGATGCTGCTCGGAGGGCTCACCGTCAGCCGAGAAGCTGCAGGAGCTCACGCTGCCTTCGTGGCCTCTCTGCAGCGACGTCCCGCCGTGAGATCGAAACCCTCCCGCCTGCAGGTCCCACAGCTTTAAACTTTTATCCCATGATGCCGTGCACAGGAAGTGCCCGTTGTTGGTGAAGCAGCAGTCAGAGACGACGTTGCTGTGGTTACTGAGAGAAACGGGAAACGTCAACAACAACAATAACAAGACAGAAGAAGAAATCAA